TGAACAGACAGAAAGGGCACTGGACTCCAGGCGATTCATGCAGATTTCGGCTAAGACTACACTGACAGGAGAACCCATTGGGATACCGCACCGCTGTCTGTGCATTACATTATCAGATTTATAACAGACATTGCAGGATGTTAAATTAAATAAACAATGTATTCTGGGCTCCGGTTACTCAGTGCCAGATTTGCATTCTTCCACATAGCTCGGCCTCGGCTCTTGGTTACGACATCTAAAACCATATCCAGTAAGCAATGACAATGTTATCGTACAGCACCACGACGTCCAACTATGCCATTTATAACGGGTAATCGATCTCTGTTGCTAAAATGGCTTCTATAACGTCACCGGTGTTCTGCAGGTGGTATTGAAAGCCTGATGTGCCAAACCTGAGAATTTTATTCAGATGTTTACCCAGATTGTGAGACTGTCAACACTGGAATGATGACCCTAAGAGGCTCACCAGGCTTATGGAGTTTTACCAGGCTATATGGTTTCAGCACGCTGCAGGTGTCAACGAACGGGGTCAAACTGTTTGCAATGTTTTCATTTAGCTTGACTTGCAAGATCAGCGGATTCCTGGAAAAGGGTTGGTGTTTTTGTTTTTGGAAAAGGGTTGGTGTTTTTCCCCTCCTTTTAGTAGATAGCTGCAGATGATAAATACTACTTTCTTTTTCTTAGGTAGTCCTCTTTTAGAATAACATCTTTGATTGTTTATGATCGGGTTTCTTTCCTTGATTTTGTTCCTAACGCTTCGCAATCCTTTTAGATGATGCGTGCATAGATTTGAGTGACATTTTATGATTTTGTTCCGAATTATCAGGCTGATTGCGCTCACCATCTCATCTCTGTTCTTTTTGACTATCCCACTCGATTGATGAATACCATTTTCAATGCCAGCTGTAAAATCGGAAATAAGAAAAATCCTTGACGAGACGACAAAACTTGGACTAACGCGAGCACATCCTTTTCCACCTCCCTGAAAGTGATATCGATATGAATAACGGCCAAAGAATCACGAAAGATCTTATATGGTTGCTGTCAATATATTCAATGAATTTCTCAGTCGGTCTGTCTCTTTCAGACAGTTAACAAACAGCATCTGTCGAAACTCCGTGCACCAGACCTATAATTCATACTTCAACGA